ACAACAACAACAACAACAACAAAACAAAACAAAAGATAAATCAACCTGCTTATATATCATAACGTACCCGAGATTAAACTCACAAATCCAGAAGAGGAAATATATGAATTCACTGGATAGAGATTAATATTGACAATCAATCAGTCAACCTACCATTGTCATCGGCCATGTTGGTAGAAGGCCTTGCTGAGTGTTGTCCACTTACACTATGAAGCAGCGCATTACAAAATGTGACCAAGACTGCATTGGAATGTGTATGGTCTAGATATAAGTACCCAACATAGGCACTGAAACCTGTAAAAGAAAGTACAATTTCTGTAATATATACAGTAGGTCATGTCGGCCACGGTCTTTTGGGTGATGCCGCAAGGACTCATTGCTATCATTGGCCAAATTTGGCATTTTCTAACACGGAAGACTAAAAATACAGACGTTAAAATACATGACCCATTTTTAGAAAACTATGCATGTCACAGGCAACCCAGTAAAACTCTTGAATGTGAAGAAGCACTATCTTTGGGGTGCAATCACATAAAATCAAACCACGTAAAATCCCTTGAGATACTAATAACTATTCAACAGCCGCCATGGTAGTTGATCTAACAGGAGAAGCTAATGAGGAATGCTTCGTTACCGTCAACCATCAAGGCGGCTATGAAGTAACACGTAAAAACCACGTAAAATCCCTTGATCCCTTGAGATACTAATAACTATTCAACAGCCGCCATGATGGTTGATCCAACAGGAGAAGCTAATGAGGAATGCTTCGTTACCGTCAACCAACATGGCGGCTATGACGTAACACTGCAAGATTTTGCTCACATGTGTATATGCAGTATATATACCTGGATCCTTGAGTTCAAAATCCCTGGGTAACAAACTTTTCTGTAGTCGACCAAGAAACATAACACCAATAACAGTGCCGATGATAATCCTCTTCAAGCAAGATATCACTCCCAGGAAGATGTTGAAGAAGAACAGGAAATATGTGCAAATGTGAAAAAGTCGCCTGAAAATAATAATAATGATAATAATAATAATAATAATAATAATA